CGAGACACTATTAAAAAACGATTTCATACAAGAGAACGAATAAAATTAAATGGACTGTAGTAAAATTTAATATTTTCTTCTCTTCATAATCTTCTTCTTTTTCATTTCTTGATTAATTATAACTATCGGTATAATCTCGGCCACGTTGAGAAATTCTCTCTGCCAATACTTTTAATCGGTCGAAGGAATCTTTCGAGTCCTCCTTTTAATAACTATCGCGGCATCCAGTCTCAAATTAAATTTTTAAGACGTTGCTCCTTTTTTTATGTATATATATATTTTTTTATTTGAAACTCTCTCTCGTAGGCTCGATTGATCGGGTTTATATAAATCAAAGATAGAAATACAGAAATAGGGAAAAGCATTGTAGATTCGAACTAGATAAATAGGTGAATCAGTTCACAGGTCACTTGCTCCTTCTTACGTCCACTATATAAGATCGGATATGCTTGAAACCAAACGAGAGGACAACAAGTGTGATTAGCATGATCTTGAGACATCGGTGCGATCCTCGAGCGTTCGTACAAATTCGTACAATTCGTACGTATATATATACATTATACTTAGTACGTATATATATATATATGTATATATATATACATATATATATATACATATATATATACATATATATATATATATACATAGAAATATTATACATAGAAAGAAAAAGAAAGAGCGAAAACTCTTGTCCTACACACACACACACATACGCATACATACATACATACATACATATATATAAACGTGCATATACACACATACTTATATACACACAGAGTAAGCTAATAATCTATGATATAAAGGAAGGGGTAGATTTTTGTACAGTTTTATGGTGACATCACTTTGATATCAATTAGCTAGCGCCATGTCGGGGAAAAAATTTTAGCGTTTTATCACTTTCTTACAGCAATATATTCTTGTCTCGCACTAACGAGGATCCACCGGAGATATACGAAGATCTGAATTGTTTCTCGATGGTTCAGCGAATCATTCCCTTGTCCTCTCGGATCGGAGCAGACCACGTTCTTGGGCACCGCTCGAAAATGCAGGTTTTTTCGTTCCACAAACGCGAAATTGTATCCTTTTCGCTCGGTGTTCGAATGAATGAGAAGCAGCATAGAAAACGATAAACCGTGAAAGAGAATGATATCATCAATTCATCAACCGCTCAAACACGATCACACGGGATAGATAATGTGAATGAGAAAAATCTAATGAGAGTGTCAATGGATAATGAAGAAACGGGGTACGTCAAGCATGTTACATCATTTTTTAATGTGTGATCTGCTTTAATAAACGGACGTTTCTGTACGTATGTAGTAGCAGTCGACAACAACAACAACCATAATAATAATAATAATAACAACAACAACAATAACAAAAATAACAACAAATAAATAAAGAATAATACAGTCACATAGTTAACCTCGCACGATTACGACGATGGATGTAGAAAGAATGAAAAAGATTAAATTAAATAATGAAAGGGTAGTTTCGAGAAGAGAAACTGGAGAAACGCCTGTTCACACAGTACATACATATACATATATCTATACATATACACATACATAAACACACCCACATATACATATATACCAGGTTCAGAATTCATATGTATATATGTATATATATATATATATATGTATGTATGTATGTATGTGTATGTGCGTGTGTGCGTACACACAAAGACACAATGCAAAAGGACGCAACCGCGCACATTCAAAAGAAATTAAATCATACACAGATAAGAAGTATATATTAATACATTATGTATTACATATACTGAAGGACTGATAATACGTTGCGTACGAATCGTAAAAAGACACGGATAGAGAGAAAGAATGAGAGAGAGGGAGAGAAGGCGAGAGAGAGAGAGAGAGAGAGAGAGAGGTAAAAGCGGGACAAAAAGTAATCTCCACATCTATATATACACATATATATTTATTTTTTTGGTAATCCTTTTTGTATATATACTTATCGCCGTAGAATTTAGGTGGCGTTTAGACAGGCCGCAGAGAGCTCGAAGAACGATTCAATCATTAACGAGGGAAACAAATAAAATAATAAAAAGCAATGACGACGATGACGACGATGACGAGACCCTTCCGTCCCTTCGTTGAATTTCGAAATTCTCGCGATCGAAATCCGCGCGAGATTATCATCCGGATCGGTATAAATGATCGATAGATCAAGCATTGGCAGAGACAAAGTAGGAAAAAGAAAGAGAAAGATAGAGAAAAGAGAGAAAAGAGAGAATTGCTGGGAAAAGGACAAAAATTAGGAAATGGAAATAAAGGAAAGAAAAATGATACGACTTATATGATTTGTATTGTATTATGATATTCTAAAAGGAAAACAAGTAAGCTTTCTCGCTCGTCGCGAGGAATTGGAAATAAAAGGAGAGAAATGAAGTGAAAAGAATATAAGACGGAAAAGTTGATAAGGAAAAAAAGAGAGAGAGAGAAAGAGATCAACAAGCGTTAGTTAGTGCAATTTTAACTCGTTGCCAGAGCGTTCTAAGCAAATGAATGAGAAGAAGAGAGAGAGAGGTAGAGATAGATAGACAAAGAGAGAGAGAGAGAGAGAGAGAGAGACAAGAAGAGAGAGAGAGGGAGAAAGAAAGAAAGAAAGATAGAGATAGATAAACAGGGAGAGAGAGAGAGAGAGAGAGAAAAAAGGAAAAAAGAATTAATCTGAGCGGCTAAGAGTACCGTAGGAAGATTAAATTAAATTAAATGCCGCCACCGCCGTGTGTATCTCGAGAGATGGACAACAAGGAGAGAGATAGAGAAAGAGAAAGGAAACTTCGTAGAAAAGTATAGAGAAAAGGTAATAAGAGAAAGAAAGAAAAAGAAAGAGAGAGAGAGAGAGAGAGAAAAGGACTTTTTTTCGAGTGCACCCAAGGAGCGCGGATAAGTTTATAAAAAAAATACATGCTGTATGACGCGTCAACTGCGTATCCGTACGTGCGTGTTCGTAGTCCACGATATATACGTTCGATATAGGATCGCGACGTGATTCGTACGCGTGTTAGGCGAAAATTTTTCATCCCACATACGAGCACGGAGTACGCGTCGAAGGCGCTTGTGCGCGGCCATATGCTCGTACATGTACACATTAAACAAATACACGTATACACATACATAGAATTAAACATATTACATACGCATATACACATATACGTACATGCACACATATTACACAGAAATATACAAACAAACACATTAACACGACTCTAATCGATCGATATAATTGTAGCGAAACTTATCTAGGTACCAATTTACCTAAATCAATTGATAATTAAAAATATATATTGATATACATATTATATATATATAAATATATATTATATAGAGAGTAGTATTGTTCCAAATACTTGAGAAGCGAGTACTTGGACCGAGGACCGAGGCCGATTTTTCTAGATAAATTTTTCTAATGTTTAAACGAACGAGAGAGCTGCTCGGATCGCGGAGAGTAACCCTTCTGATCCCGCCGACGCGGCCCCACGTAAATAACACTATACATATACAAACACACACACACATACGCGCGATAAACACACGGTCACGTTTAAGTAAAATACACATATATACACACACGCACGCACGCAAATTAGGTGAATAAAGTAAAAGAGAATGAGAGAGATAGGAGAGTAATAGAGTCGATGTTGCTCGCGTCATTTTCACATAATCGACGTAATTAAAACGGTCGTGTCCTTTGAATATGAATGTTCTTAAGATGAAAAAAGAAAAAGAAAAAAAAAATAAACTAAGTGTTCGATTTATGCGTCTCTCTATTGTACGTAAAATGCGAAAAGAAGAAAAAAATGAATATATAATTATTATTGTGTGGCATATCGCGACGCGAAGTTCTAATCGACTTCGACTACTTTCGCGCCGCTAACTTGATACTTTCTATTACCTTTTCTTCTTTTCTATTTTTCTCCTATCTTTTCTTCTTTTTTCGTGTTCGCTTTCGTTTCTCACTCCTTTTCGGACGAGAAGCATACAGCGTTGTGAGAGATAGGAAAAGAAAATGCGCGTTATTTTATGCATAAACACTTATAGACACACACATCTATACACATCCGCGTGCGCAGAAGATACTCGAGTAACTTACATAAATACATATACACACACACACACACACACACACATATATATATATTAAACACACACACGCACACACATTCACAGCAGCAGACACACAGAGGCTCAGTCACACGTCTTCATAAAAGCGTGGCGCGAGAAAGACCCACATTTTCAATGAAGTTATCGTTTTGAAGTCGACAGTAACAAAAAAAAAATTGACAACAAAATAATAATAATAAATAATATGTTAGGTGTGATTCTTCACCTCCTTTGTAATATGTGTGATAAAGCATAATATATATATATAATATAATGACAATTATATATAGATATATATATATATTATATATATATATATATAAAGTACTAATATATAATTGATAATAACAATTAAAATATCTAATATATTGTGACAGACTTGAAAGAAAGGGGGAAATGTAATTGGGGATTTAGATAGAGTGAGAACGAGAGAGAGAGAGAAAGAGAGAGAGAGAGAGAGAGAGAGGACATGCGCGAAGCGACAGTGTGTGAGAAAGAGTGTGAACGAGTGTATGTGTGTATGTGTGTGTGTATGAGAGAGAAAAAGAAAGAAAGAAAGGAGCATAAACGAATGTGAAAAACAATAGTGTGGCGTGATGATTATTAAAGAAAAAACAACGGAGCTACGACTCTTTTTTTTTCAAATGCGAATGTAAAAGATATGCGTAAAAACAAAGAGAACATCGTCTACGATCGACGCGATTGATTAATGATTATTGTTGTATTATTATCAAAATAGCGACGGTCGCGGTCGAACTACGAAATCGAAACGTACTCTTACGAAATTTGTATATATACATATATATATATATATATATATATATATATATGTATATATATATATGTATATATATATACATGTATATA